TGCATGCCGTAGTCGTTAGACCATTGACCTCGGGGGGGGGGTTACGCATAGCCGTGCATGTTGTAGTCGTTAGACAACGAAGCGCGGGGTGGGGGGAGATACGAGTACAACTAAGGGAGGCGGCGGGGCGGTTGACCATGATCCTTGGGGTAGGGTCGTGAGTACCGAGGTTGTAGGGGACACCGGGGAAGTCAGCAAGGCGGAGGTATGAATCGCATGCGGAACCGAGAAGAGCTGGAGGAAAGATTCAGCTGCGGCCCAGAGAAAAAGAGAGAGGAGAGGGGACACGCCGGGACAAAACAAGAACGGCCGCACGGCAACTCGCGACGAACGGAAAAAGAGTGAGACGACAAAGTCGTCCGCTTCAAGTCCATGTGCCATGGCCACACCGCACACGATTAGACACACAATAAAGAAGGCAAGGACAACGCACTCCACAGAACCACGCAACAACAATACCAAACAGCAACTAACCACACCACACAACACATTGATTGAACCTGTTTGGAACTCAACCCCCCCTCCTGCTGCCGTCGGCGCCGCCTGACTCCCTCCCCCGCCCCAGCCCCCTCCGTTCTCGTCGCCCCCCATGAGCCCGAGCAAATCGACTTCCGGCGCAGCCGCCGCGGGGGGCGCAACGTCGCCTCCGCTCGTCCCCCCTCCCCCCTCCGCAGGCGCCGTCACCGCTGCGTCGTAGAGCTGTTGCTGGTCAGCCTTGGAGCGCTCGAGCGCCAGCCCTAGGTCGGCAAGGTCGTTTGCCTCGGCTTCACCGGGAATGGCGCGGGTGTTCTTTACTTTCTGTGGAGGCGGGAGAGCGGTAGTGGAGAGAGGGGGACAGACAAAGAAATGCAACAAGAGAGAGGAACAGATAAAAGAAATGCAAGGGTTGGAGGTGGACGGGAGTAGCAATTACAAACAGAATAAACAAACAGCCGCATGGGGGGCTGTTTCCGTGCGCACGAGAAACGTGTGCCCGATGTTACCGCCGCGTCACGCACGTCGGCGATACAGGTACGGCTATCGCAATGCTTCAAGGGGAGAGACACCACAATCGCCGCCGAAAAGGCGTAAAACAAGCCCTCGTTTCAGTTTCAGGATGTTGCTTGCTTCTCGTGGGGTTATTCGTTTACATGCGTCTATCATCAAAACCTGCTGCTGCAATACACGCCAGCCAAACAAGCAGAGGCCGGCGCATCAACTCTATTTTTCAAGAGGCTCAAGTGTCGAAGATCCTACAACAATTCAGTCTCGAAGCCGCTGTCTACAATAAACCAATGGCCGAGCGATTCACCCTGAACCAAGACTCCCGTGCGTCTCTCCTTTGAGCTCCAACCTACCTCTCGACATCAACTCCGCCTCCGCCACCCGATGAAGGACAAACTGCGTCGAATGATCAAAGAACCCCGGGACATAAAACCAAGCGAGAGGGACGAGCCGGGGTATCGAAACGCACCTTGGCTCTGAACTCCGGCAGCGTGAAGTTGTCGCTGTGATCGTCGTACACCATGGACAGCGTGTTGAACTCGCTGAAGATGACATCCCGTCGGCCTGCCGCAGAAAAAGGCGAACAAAGACGGTCGCAACGACCGACAGTCAGCAGCAGAGACGCGCAGGAACAAGGCCGGGAGACATCATACCAGCAGGCCCAAGGGAAAATGACTTGCCGTGTACAACCATCACCCTCCTTTCGCGCATCAACTTCCGATTCTTCGGAAAGGAGAGTGTGTGACTTGCGCGCCCCCCAGGAATACAGTACCTGCCTGCGGCCCTCACCGTACGGAGTGGAGGCGATAAGCGTACAAGTGCAGACCCTTCCAGGAATAAATCACCCGCGCTCCGCCTTTCGAAAACCGGGGCTCGCGCAAAAAAAGGACTGCAAAGCATGCCCTTCCACTACTGCTGTCGTCTTGGCAGGAACGACTACTCTTACTCTTTCTGTGATTGCATGCATAGTCTTATCTTCTAAAAATCAACAGTGAGTGCCATAGACGGTCGCGTCCGTGTCCATACCGGTGTCCCTGTCCTCGGCAAACTCCCCGCTCACGGGAGGTCTCTCGCAACAGCAAACCCGCCGGGCCACCTCGGGGTCGTGCTTGAGCAATCGGTGGTACAGCAGGGCTCTATCGTGTAGGTCCTGAGAAGACAGATCGTTCACGGCTCTTGCCAGCAGTCTGCCTAGCATAGACTGGAATTCGGTTTCGGACGGGCAGAGAGAGAGGGAGAGGCGTGTGTTTGGACGCGGGTGGAGGGCGGGAAGTCCTCTCGTCCGTGTCTGTTGCTGTTTGACTTGGTGGGTCGGACATGCCGAGTATACATGGGAGAGAGACAGGAAAGGACGGCCTATAGAAGCGTTCATTCTCTTATCATCCCATCAGCTCTGGGCGCCTACACAGGCAAACACAGCTTTCAGCGCTTGTACAGGCGGGTGTTCCTGTCGGCGGGGGTCAGTCACACACAAGCATTCCTTCTTTCCCGCCTCGACGCGAGAAAAGGTTCGGCAAGGGATTCCCTCCTCGACGTTGTCAATCTTTGCCGCCTCAGCGCTTCCCGAACGATGTCGCGGCCGAGGTTGAACCCCCAACGCTCATGCTCATCTGCTCATCAACACAACGGTCGAGGAAACGGCACAGATGGGAAGGGTGCTGTCCGCCAGCACAACCCTCTACTATACAGCAGTACCTGCATCTCGGGGGGACGCTTGAAGAAGAGCTTTACAGCAGCCGTCAGCAGATGCATCTTGATCTGGCACGACGGCTCCTCCTCCCACGCGTCCACCAAGGGCTCTAGCATGTACGGAGCCTCCTGCCATATCGTCAGTTTGCGAGCACCAACAAAGCCACCCAGAAGGACGGGGGGGGGGAGCGAAGAGGTCATGCCTCGTGCCCCGTCCTCCTGGTGGCTCATGAGCACCCTTTTTTACCGCACCCCCAAGCTCGGGGAAGCACAGCAGGCGCAAGAAGCTTCAGAGATCAGACACATCAATAGCACCGGCAGCAATAACACCGGCAGGAACACAAAAAAACTCACGCGCGGTCGATGTGCGACTAAACAACAGCGACAAGGAGACCAACAAAAAAAACGCATCCAACGATACCGTGATTTCTTCGCCGTACTCCCCGACCATCCAGATCACCGCCGCCTTGCCCGCGGGCTCGTCGATGTGTTTCAGACACCTGAAAGAATACAGCGAGGTATTTATAGATATCTTGTGGTTGAGCGAGCAGAGATATTGAGTAGGTGCAGAACCAAGAAAGCAAAAACATCACGCACATTCTTCCATGGGAGAAAAATACGACAAAATCGGGTCACCAAGTCGCAAGATTTTACGGCGGGAGGGGGGGGTCTACGGGCAGGATTTTTTTGGTGGATACCTGCGCCAGCCAGCGCAGGCTACGGCAGTAGGTTGACTAACGGGGGGAGGGGAGTCGCGTGTCTAAGTGATGAACACTTACCAAACATGACCCGACGCGAGCTCTTTTGCACTGCGATTCCCAACGTGGGAGGCAGCCAACCTACCACTTTCGCGAAACCGCGGTCGTCCAGCTGTATAGCGCAACACTGCTACTGCTGTACGTGCACAAAGTTCTGATAAGCTCTGCCGGGCTCTCC